TGTTATAATTTTTTTAGTATATTACTTGTGTGGTGTAGAAGAGAATTATTTATGTCGTGATACTGCTTGCAAACCAATGATGGTAAGATGATGTCATGGGGTAGGACTGGATAAGTCTGACTTCTTCCTACTCCATTCAAGCATGTACTAGGTATAAGCAAATTGATATCGGATTATGTGTAAAATTATGTGTGTTGTCATATCAACTGTCTTTACATGCTTGAAAGAATAAATCAAATCAAATAAAAATAAAAAATAAAAAGAGAGAAGAAAGTAAGTCTTTTTCTTCAGTCCATTAGGGTTAATTACAGCCTTGTGTTAGGATGCTTGTAACAGAGCAGGTTTGGTAATTAAAGTACAGGTAAGACATTAACTTACTTTTGTTAGCCATTAATCAGTGTTTACCTTCAGAGAGCTCTCCCTTTGTAATTAATAATCACCTTGGACAATGAGTAATCACCCAAGAGGAAGCTGTGTGTGCTTATACGTGCACCAATGTATGTCTGTTAGTAGAGAAAGGGGTTTTCCCACCTTTGGAACAGCATCTTTACTGATCAAACAATCAAACATCCATGTCACCAGAAAAGCAGTCAATAAACTAAGCAACAAAACCAGAGGAGCTCTTACAAAAATAATTACTGTAACGCTGTGTTCTTCCTCTCTTTTCATCCATTTATTTCTCATCAACCTCATTCTCTTCCATCGTGCATGTATCCTCTTGGTGTCTACACGGCACTGCAGGTCTGGAATGATTACATCTGGGGAAGGCCTCCAGAACCCCACTTAAGTGACACCCCAGTTTCCAACTTATTTATTTCTCTGTCAGCCTTGCAGCTACTCTACACACACACACACACACACACACACACACACACACACACACAAGGGAGCTTTTCCAGCAGGAGATTGGTTCCACTTTATCTGCATATTTAGCCTGTGCTCTGTGCTCGTAACTGATAAAATTCTGCTAGTGTGCCAGGCCACTGCCAAACGCCAGAGCAATGACCTTCTTGTGGGAACAAATTCCTTTTGAAAGATGGAAAAAACAGTGAAAAAAGAAAGATAAAGAAAACAGTGAAATGAAAAGGAGGGGAACTAGCCAATGAAGTGCAAAGGGAGTTTGTCTTGTTTTGATAGCATTTAAAACAAGAAATGGAGATGTTAGCGGATACTCCTGCTATGCGTCATTCACCCTCCCTCTCTTGGTCCTTTAAGGCCCATAGAGTGCCATGCTGGTATACAGGCGTTGCTTCACAGATGATTAGGAATAACAGACAAGCTCTGCCGCCACTTCTCCCTACCTCCTTCTGCCAAGAGTCTACCAGCATGGAAAACACAATCATCATATCATCACTGCCACCACACAGGCAGGCTGGACACAAGCGGAAGAGAAGAGAGGGAGATGTATAGAGAGAGTCAGAAAGAGAGAGGAATAGTGAGGTGAGAGAGAGAGAGCAGACAGAGACAGAAAAAGAACAGCAGCAAGACTGGCTCTTCAACCTGTTCTCTCGTCATGCTGCCTGACCTGTCCCAGTGCCCATGCACACATCCAGTGCTTTGTTAGCCTTTAGACATTTTAGTATGCGTGTGTGTCTGATCCGGTGCCATTCTCCACAGCGGCCGAATTGCCCCGTGCCTGCCTCAGCCTAGCTCCACACATGAGCAATGGTTCACACAGTGACGTGCGTTAGTTCTGCATACGTGTGTGTGTGGGTGTGCGTGCATGACAACAAGGATTCACTGGCCTGTTTTCTGTTGCTAAGACACTTCATGGTTAACCCTGATTACCCCCACCTACAAACACACACATACCCTGACCACAGCAACCCAGACAACAGCAGTCATGGTAGCAGAGGGAGTTTAGGAGCTGTATGTGAGCTGATTGTAGTGTTTGGCCTGGATGCCCTGACAGCCGTCCCTCAACCTGCTCTCAACCTCGTCACCTCTGTTGCTCTGCTGTGACTCTTACCACAATGGCTGCTGCCTGTGAACCTGCCAGGCTGCCAAGGACACAAAGACGACGGAGTCAACCTTTGACATCAGAAGCTGCCACCAAAAAACCAGAGACAAGCTGAGATGGCAGCTCTGTTAACAGACCAGAGACTCAGGTCTTTTCAGCTCAGTTAAAGTAGCAAAAGTCAATAGAGCACAAGTCAAAAGTGCATACATACAGATGGACACTGTGTCAAACAGTCCTGTGTTAAGACAATGTCAGACATGCCGGCAGTTTCAAAAAGTAGACCTCGATATCTTGGCTCAAAGAGTGCTGTCTTTTGACTGACAGTAGACAGTGAGAAGACACATAAAACATCAAGGTAAAAAAACTGACATTTGAACATGAAATACAGTATGGGATCTGTATTGAAGGACACATGACATTTCAAGGAGCTGATTCACTGGTGGATGTTAAGGCCACCCACCCACACAGCTCCTTGTGGAACATGGTGTTTTAGTGGCTGAGATGAGATAGTGTTAAAGATGTATTCACCGACATGCGGAACATGTGTAAGATGACCTATACATTGGCCATGATGTCAGTGAGAGGATTTGAAGAGATGAAAAACACAAAGTAGGAACTCCTGAGCGATGATGAAATGCTTTTGATATTTGTCAGATACATTATTTCCTGTTTATACTGTTTCCTGCTTGACTTTCCTTTTGTTTCCCTGTGTGTGAGTGCCTGTGCATGCATGCCTCTGTGTCACTCTTCAAACATTGCAATCATCATCTCTTATCATGATCATGTTGAGGATTACAGCTTTCATCCCTAATCCTACATTAAAGATACATTCTCATGATGGCCGTGACATCACCAAGGCCAGTCAACCACAGAGAGGGCATAGAGACAAGAAGCCAAACACCACAGGAGAGGATTAATGAATCTAGGAGACAGAGTAGATGATAAAAAAAAGAAAGGGAGATGGGGTAACAAGGAAGACAAAAACAAAAATTCAAAGAGCACATTTCTGTAGTGTGTGTGACAGCCTCTGTTTCTCTGTGTATGTTTCAAGATAATCTGCCACTGATTCAGTTTCTCTGACAATGATCATTCTCAATCAGCCTTACTAAGACTTTCAATCGACACACACACGGCTCTGAGTGACTGAACCCTGACATGCACCGCTCACAGTCACAAACACCGAGTCATTTATTTGCATTTTGAATTGTATCTAATGAAACCACCTAAGCTTGATATAGTGCTCCCATCGTTTCCTTCCAAATGCTAAACTAGATTTTAGCAACTTGTGGTAGTGGTTTATGTACACACAACTAATTCTTCAATATATCCATGACTGTAAAATCACCAGTCAAGATTTATTTTTAACAAACTACTTTCATTGTTACCGTACTATATCACTGGCTGGGACTCCCTGGTTGTGCCAGTTTCTCAGTACTCTCAACCAGAGCTACCAACTACTACTCCATATGAAATCCATGATTCAAGTTTTCACCTTTTAACAGTAAAATAAACACTCGGCTAAGCTAACACTGACAAAGCACCTAATGCCTGCAAGTAAAGCACTTACCTAACTGTTAAATGTCAGTGCTCTATTGTCCAAATGACTTGAAACAAATCCAGTCGGCTTCCCTGCACTGTCATTGTGTTTGGAAACTAGAAGTCATCCCAATGATGCTGTGAGTAGTTACTGATTAATAATGTTATTAGTGTTGGAGTGTGTTTATACATACCTGCGGAGACTCGGGGGCAGTCTGGCAGCATGGGATCCAGCTGTGTGTCCAGGGGCTCTGGACTTGAAACCCAGTTACAACAGTGCTGTAGGGAGAGGAAAAAATATTGATAAGGTTACATTTATCATCGCCCCTATAGTATATAAGGCTTCTACAAAATATTTAAATGACCTCCACTTACAGTAGACTACTTAAGGTGTGTGTGGTGGTGGTGGTGGGGTTATGGGAAATTCATATATGTTAACTAGCATCCCCCACTATTACTAAAATAAACACAAAAAATATATGACAGAAATATAATAAAGGAAAGGATCTGATGTATTTTATGTTTTCAATTTTTTATGTAATGGAGATACACACATGATACACACATGATGTTTTTTATGTAATGGAGATACACACATGATGTTTAATTATAATTCAAAAAAGATATTACTGCATCAAGCAAAGACAAGAAACATGAAGGGAAAAAAGGATAAGGGAAAGAAAACAGGGAGGCAAGACAAAGAAAAGGAGGACAGGTGGAGAGGACTGAGAGAGAGACAGTAAACAAGAAAGAGGTGTATAACTCAGCAAGGTGGCAGGGGCAGAGAGAGAGAGAGACAGCAACAAGCAATTAAAGGCTTTGTGACATGTTGCTCAGACAGCTTGGCGTTTGTTTGTGGTGGAGAGCTGAGGCCTTCTACCATGGTGGATCAGTAGGTGCCCTGGGGGAGGGTGTCTGCCCAGCTTGCTGACCCATAACCTCCTGCAAACACCCCTAGTCCTCTCAAACCCCATGTGGTTGACAAGTCTACTGACAGAAAGAGGAGGAGACCTCTTTATCCGGTTTTTGTTGTCTTCATCTTCCTGTCTGTATGGCACTATTGCTTTCTATCTACTAGGTTATTTCAGACATTCTCTAGTGAAACCTCATGTACCTTTAACACAATATACAAATTTCTTATTGCAAAACAAGTGACTTTTCCCATGCCTAGAGTTTTCATTCTCTGGGTCAGCAGATGACTACATATCAAAGTGTGTTTTCCCTTTTGATCGTGCAATATGGCTTGGAATGCTGTGGCTTGTCAGGCTAGTACAAAAACAAGGGAAAGGGTGAGAGGGAAAAAGGGAGGCTGAGAAGGAATGCTTGGAGAAGACGTTCCCCAGATAAGATAAAAGTTCAATAGAAGAAAGCGAAAATGTAAAGAGATTAGACTGTGCAGCTGGCGTCCTTCTGAATCGCTGCTTATCTGCCCTTGTTTACTTTCACCCTGGCCCCTTGACAGCCATTACAGTGGTGTGCATGCTTGTGTGTGCGTGTGTGCTTATGTTTGTGGGTCAGTGATTGCACTGCGGGGGGTCTCCCACAGAAATACATAACGTTGTGAACCCTTCAGACTCTCACACAAATGCATCACATTTGTGCATTTTTGCCCTCAGCATCTCTGACTCCTGAAAAGGGAGGGATTGGGTAGACAAACCTATCAAATGTATTACATTTCTTACACTTCACCCCCTCCAAAAAAAAATGTACACACACACACACACACAAAATACAGGGTCGCATCGCACTTCTCTGCAACTACCATCCCCCAGGTGACCCCCAACACACACAAAGCCCACTCTCAGATATGTTGATATTATACTGTATACATCTGTAAAGGTACACTGGGACACTGAATATACTTGAGGCCTAACTGAGGCCCTTTGGGCTGTTGCGTTTTGTCTACATACATTTCTCCAGATATGTCCAAGTGAATGTCTTCTTGTCTGCTTGAAATATTCTACATCTTCTTCTGTCCCACAGTGATTTGTTTACTAAAGCCTAGCTTATTTAGAAATACAGAAACTGATTGAAAGAGATCATGATGAAACATCTGGCCCATTTAAGTAAATCCTTAGCAAGTGTCATGGCAGTAGTTATACCATTAAGTAAATAAACAAAATTCAGCTAGGTAATGTGTACAAAAAGGTCTGTTAGTTTGTAGATACCCCTTAACTCTTTTCCTCTATATGTCATTTCTTCAGCTCTGCCGGCCAAAAGTGCTAGCAGATGGACGGGGTGTAGCATAGAAGGAGCCAAAGAGGTTCAAGAAAGTTCGGCAAAGAGGGAATGGAGAAAAGAGGAAAGGGGGTTCAGTGTTGGGGAAAGATGACAAGTCATCTTGGTAAACAGTGGCATATTGTGTATTTTTAGATCCTTTGCTTTGCCCTAGATGTTCTCTCCTCTGAGCCTGGGCTTGAGGGCAGAGCAATGCCGAGCAGCAAAGAAGCAGTGGGACTCCTTGACTGCTACATCAAGTGTCTCATTGTATTTCCTTTAATTCATTCAGTCTGTCTGGAAGAAGATGTCAGCTGGGTTGTGGAGCAGTGGGCTGAAGGCGGCTGGAGAGAGAGAAAGGAGGGGAGTCTTTCAAAGAGCCCTCCTCCCTCCCCTCTTCTCCACCACCATCACCACCATTGGAGGCAGGGAGGCCGGGATATGAATAGATTTGTCAAGGCAACAACACACATGTGCACACAAACTCTTGCATAAATGCACACACACACATATTGCACATAGCCCCAGTGCTGTGGGAGACCGCAGGCATAACAGCAGTCACATAAAGGCAAGGCCTGCTGGCTGGGATTAGAGAAGGGCGATGTGACAAAAGGATGGCACATCACATTGGCTGCCTCTGACACACAGCATCATCACTTCAAGCAGCTCGTCTGCCGATCAATGGTGCCATTGAACTAAAGGCAGACAGAGAAACAAATGTGTAAACAGGTTTGACTCTTCCCCCACCTCTGGTATGTCTGAATGTGTGCTATATATGCAGACATATATGCACACATTTTGCAAAACACGTTGCTGCACAGTGCACTTTTTTTTCTCTTAAATCCCATCATCAATATTATGCAGAAACAACATTTTAAAAGATCCTACAACAAATAAAATACCCTTTGTCATCATGGTTAACAAAATAAATATGCAGGTAAAATTGTGGAATGGTCATAGATATAAAACATAACTTTTCAAACAGGAATCAACCAACAGTCATTTGTCAAAAGGTCCTGTGTCTTCTGACCCATCTATCCACCCTAACCTTCTCCTAATGCAGACTTTACTGGGGAGCAACTCCTAACACACTTTCCCATTGAACTGAATGGGAAACGGTGTCAGAACCTTTGACTGGTAGTGTATTTACTGCAGTCTCTAGAGGTCACCTAACTATACCATGTTACTGTCATAATAACCTGCTGGCACAAAGATCTCTGCCCTAGTGGTGACTTAGAGACTAATGCTAAATGCTAAAGCTAACAGCATGGTCAGAGTATAAATCACAAGCAGGTGTCAGTGCGCTCTACTTGTGAGGAACGCTTTAAAGCCTTTGTTGTTATGTGTTTGTGTATGTGTGATCCACCACCGGCTGCCTTCTAGAAGTCATAGTGGAAGTCAGCCTGCTTCTTTCACATAGACAACAAACCCACCTGCACACTCAGAGATTAATGGACATAAAATACTGCACTCTGCTGATGAGAGTGTAATCAAATGGAGCCGTCAAAAGAACCACATGGGTCTCTCAAAGACGTCTGTATCTACTGTACAATATCACAGGAATACACAAGGCCTTAAAATGGATTTGTACTCCCTACCGTCCAAACTCTGCATTAAAATAATTGATAAACAGACATTAATTATAGAGTTATAAAACAGATTTTTACTAGTAAAGAGTTATATAAATATGGATGCAGAATTTAAATAAAATATGGATAAAATATATATATTTTCAATTGCATACAGTTGACTCTATTCCGTGATAAAACAGTACTGCCGCCTCCTTTTTCTGTAAGCACACAGGACTACGTCCCATGATATAAACTTTGTGCTAAGTGTACAAAAGTCTCCTAAACCATAGCACATAACAGCCTGCAGCCTAACTTCTCAGAAAGTAGTTCTGAGTATCAGTTCTTGCTCACTCTCTGTGTCTGTCTCTCTCCCACCTCCTCCAGTTGCTGTATAATCTCTATGGATTAGGATGGTTTATTCATGACCATAGTGTACTCTTTATGTATGTGTGTTTGTGCATGTCTGCGTGTGTGTGTGTGTGTGTGTGTGTGTGTGCTCTGGGCAGGCCACTAGAGTGTGACAGCAGGCCAGCACAGTGACAGGAGACACCTTGGAGACTGTGACAGGTTGCCAGCTGTACACCATCATTCGCATTTCTCTGCCTCACTCACTCACTCACTTCTCCCAGCCATGCTCCTCATCCATCTCCACATACATCTCTTCATCTCCTCTCCTCCATCTGTATTCACTCCATTCATATCCTACCTGTCTTTTTGTTTTCTTTTCCAACTTGTTTTCTCAGCAGCAGTCAGCAACATTTAAATAACTGAAAGTCTCTCATACTTTATTTCTCATCTATTAGTTTGTTTTTCAGTCAAATGTAGAAGTATTTCTTTCTCTGCCTCTGCTTATTCTCTCTCCTTTTTCTTTTTTTTCCCCTCATATTTACTCTGTACTTACTCTCTTGGCAGTGACGTCAGTTACCCCTCATCTGACCCATTTGGTCTATATAACCTGGCCCAGCAGGCACTGATCTCTAAATCCCATCTTCTCTCTTTTACTCTCCTCTTCTCATCACCCCATCCCACCATCCAGTGACCTCTTGAGCCCCAAAGGGAGGGAATTATCTCTAGCCAAGGAGAACAGTGGGGTGTCCTGACCTCACATGCAACCATTCATATGGGCACCCATATTTATACACCACCTAGGGTATTATTAAGGTTCACTGCTAGCTCCCCTCTGTGATGTGCTGCACCATCTGGGTTGCCCTCTGTGTGTGTTTGTGCCTTAGTGAGGAGTGAAAGAGTTTTTTTTTTTTTACATTCAAGACCACGTGATGTATGGGTTTTTGATAGAGATGTCCTTAAAGCAGAGGATTATATGCACCTAGTGTATCCTACTGAGCACTGCACCAACAAGTGCATGCAGTTGTAGACTGTGTGATCATTCAAAGCCAAACATCACGAAAGTGAGCCAACAATAAAAGTCCTTAAAGCAGCCCAGGGCCAAGAGATTTGCATTTTGGGAGAAACACAAAGGGACTCTGACCTTTTAGTGGAACTATTGCACACACACAGCACTGGTTTCATTGGATTCACCCCAAACCTGATGCTGACCTGGGGCTTGCTAACTAGCACTGCCATGCATGCCCAGAGAGCAGTGATGTGATGAAATACTGGACTTAATTTGCCATCAAAATATACAACAATCAGATGCAGTATACAAAAATAATGTATATCTATCACCTCATGGTGATCTACAGTATTTATCGTCAGTAGCTGTCTTCATTTAACTCTAACTTAGCAGAGACAATAAATGGTAAAACCACTTTTGAAGTGAAATATTGCATGCACTCACTAGTAATGGTTAAAATAATAGGCATCAGCACTGGTTGCCTTCCTGATAATTCAATGACAAAGTTTTGAGAAGATACATTTTTGTCATTAAATACAATTAATGCAAAACTTAACACACTTATTTAAGAGTTCTTAAGAGAAATACATAGAGTATAAACATTGCTTTATAATTAACAACATGCAATGAGCACATCTTTAGCGTAATGAGCCCAAAACTGCTGGTATGGCAGAGAATTATGAATTTAATGAATGGAGAAAAAAAAACAGAAGGCATACAAGCAGAAGAAATATAGAGTATGTAAAATCTATAGATATACACATTTCCTCCAAATAGCAGAGAAGGGCATAGGTGAGCTACTATTCCATCCTGAAAAATTCCCTCTAATTAGGCAGACACCTCTGTTAATTCTGCCAAAAAAAAGGACTAGGGGTTAATGAGTACAAGAGAGTGTGAATCCTTGCCTGTCCCCTTCCTTCGACTGGACAAAAAAGGTTATTTCAGATTTATTGTTCTGGGTAATCATCACAAATAGAAAATCACTTAACATTCCAATTAAGCCATGTCCCACGCATCCCTTAGATGAATCAAAAATAGGAGATACTAGACAAGGAGAAGGGGGCCAGTGCAACCTTGAATCTCCACCACTCAAACTAAAACACACCCATTCACAGACAAGTAACACACTTGAGAACACAAACAAAGCACATACACATGAAATGAAAGATCACAGAAATGGTAAAAACAAAAGGCAAGGGATATAAAGGAGGATGTAATACAAATAAAGGTATGTATGTACATGTGAAAAGCCTGACATTTGCATCTCTGGCTCTCAAGCTGCTCTGGTCTTGGCTGGACCTCATCTGTATGTGCATACTAAGTGAGCCCAGGTGCTTCGTATGGTGCAGAGGTCACACCAGAAAGGGCAAGTGCTAAAATGAAGCCAACACAAACGCACATGTGCACGTGCATCATTGTATCTCACAAGCACCTATCAACACATGCATGCACGCTTACATATAAGCATGCCCAGCTATAAACACACGCACCAGCGAGGGTTGACTGTCTTGGTTATTCATTGACATGCGCCCAGGAAGAAAAAAGCTTGAGCTGATAAAAAGTAAAAAAAAAAAAGAGACAAAGAGGGAAAACATGCAAACAATCATTCTCTATGACTTCTAAGGCTAGCTGTTGGTCAGGGGTACCTGTGTAGGTCAGCAGCGTTGTGCAAGGAGACATTACAGAGGAGAAGAGTTTGAAAGACCTCAAGCTCACTGCTGGCTTAATATACGTGATGAGATGGGAGCTCAGGAATGGACCCCTGTACAGTTTGCAGCATCTCTGTTTGCATTCAATATGTCTTGGTGTATGTGAGCGTGTGTGGTTATTTCACCTCGTGCATCCAGTCCTGCGTGCCTTTGCTGGTCTCCTGTAGCCAGATGTTGTGAGCAGAGTCAGTCAGAGCCACAGCACACACTTTGTTCTTCACCTGCATTTCCCTCTGATTCATCTGCCATAAAAATAATAAAAAAATCAATTTGTGTTAGATCCCTTTCTAGTATGATAATGGAATAGTCACTGTTGAGGGAGGCACCATTTGTTTCAGATAACATTTGAGTGACAGAGACCTTGCTTTAAGAGATAATTAACCTTTTTAATAAAAAAAAAAAGAAAGAAAATTAAAATAAATAAAAATCAAGTTTTTGAATTGAATGGCTGTAAAGGCATTTTTTTTAAATATGACCCACCCATCATGTCATTAGATACATTTTATTTCCTGTCCAACACACAACTCCTCAGACTATGTCAGCAATGGCCCAGTGGACAGCTTTGTAACCAGTGGATACATTCAACTTGGTGTACAGTATAATGTTATAAAGTGAAATATGAACGAACGGCTCTACTATAGCGTGTTCTTGTCACGTTGTGTGCAAATGTCCGTCCCTGTGCACATTCAGTTCTCATTCTTAATACCCTTTCCCTTCACATGTCACATCCACAGGCCTGTCTTCCTATTCCCCACTGAATGTCCACGTCAAGGAAAATGTCACACAAAGGACTTGTTACCACACTACAATAGACTTCCCACACCGCTGGTCCTACCCCAAGGAGTACTGTAGCCAGGACTTGGGAAGGAGCTGCTTCCCTGTGCTTTACTTAAAGATAAAATGGGAAGAAAAGAGAACAAGACTTTCAACAATAGGTTAACAATCACTTACTGCATACAGTTAGTGAAGCTGAGAAAAAGACTGGTGGAAAAAACCTGCCAGAGTCCTGGACTACAGGATTATTGGTAGGCTTAAAATGTTGGTGGTGGTTTTGGCTTGGTGTATGATGACATTGTAATGCTAAGGCTAATACAGGAACTGGAATGTCAGGCAGTAGGTGGTACTTGCATGTATTACGGTCTACTGTATACTACAGTATAAATCTGTGTCTGACACATAGGCTGGAGCTAAGACTGGAGCAATCACCTAGGCCAGCTCTGGCTGCCTGCCTGTACATCAAAATGACGGTGGGCATTTGAATACATCCTCCCTTGCCTAGCCAAATTAAAGTGGGAGTGTATAGAGATAAATGGAATCTATTAAGGCACTAAGGACTCATATATCATCCAGCTGATAAGGCTTCCGCTGTAGCATCTTCACCACAGCAGAGGACAGAGTAGATTGAAAGGGGAGCCACAACCATAATGAACGAAGAAAAAAGCACATAACTGGAGAGACAGACACTACACATGTATGCACAGACATATTCTCTGGTTCACACAAAATCATACAATCATACGGGGACACAGAGATACACACTCCTCTTTGTGCTCCCTTCTTCATCGCTTGGTTGAAAAGCTTTCCTCTGGCAACCTGGACACATGGGAGTGGCAAAGTCAACCTTTTAAAGCTGGGGGTGTCAGTCAAGGTCCTGTTTTGTGGTGCTAGATAAACAGGCCAGTCCCTGAGTATAGGGGCTGCTAGCAGAGGCCAGGAAACAGGAGACGGTGGACTGACCATGGAAAATACTAAACATATGACATGAGAAAACTTCAGACTACATTTTTCCACTTTCCAAGTGTATAAATGGGTCTCTGCTTTATCTTACTGGATTCTCCTTAAAACATCCGAGTTCAGTATTTTTTGTTTTTGATGTAAAATCTACTTTAAATGGGCAAGATCCATGGGATACTACTGGTAGTAAAACCAATCAACTTAAGAATAATTTGTGCCAAAGTACACTTTATTTGCCAACCTGCCATTTATGACAGGTTTTAAGTCTTTGTATAAAACATTTTGACATGCCACTTTCAAGACAAAGTACTTGAGAGATAACAAAGGACACGCAGATAGATGGAAGCAAGAGAAAGAACAAGAGCACTAAGAAAGATGAACAGAGGAAGTGTGTGGGTACATGCATGGATGTATGCATATGTGTGTATGCCTGAATGTGAGAGGACTGCACAACAGAGGGTAGTTTGGTGAAGAAGCGAGTGACAGACAGCAGTTACACAAAGATAAAGGCATGCACAAAAAGGCACAGCTGCTAAATTGGGAGTGAAGTTGTTGATGGTGTTGGATGGATTAGTCTGGAACTTAAATACTGGACTTTTTTTTACTGAATAATGAGACATTTGGAAATGCTAAAACGGCCATTCAAACTGATTAGACTGATTGGGCCCGTAAAAACACATTCATCATGGCTAAATTTTATTGATTCGAAATGCATCAAAAACCAACTTTGTGCTCAAGTTTCTCTATGACCCGCTATTCGAAGATACTAATACAGTGTTGTATATGTGCTGCAATGAGTAACTCTCACCACACAAAGCCTGTTTTCCTGATGATGCCTCAACTGAAGATTAAAGACCTAAGAACTCCTCTATATCAATCTCTCCTTCTGACAGCTCTCATTGCTGCAATGCCTACACATATGGTTGGCTGTGGTAACAGTTGGGGTAATAGGCTGAAAAAGTGGGACTCAGGAGAGAGTCCTCTAAGCAGTAAGGCCCTCAACCACAATGAGTTTGACACCACTGGGTCCTGTGTTTGACAAGTCATGATGACAACTGTGGTTAGGTGCGTGTTGAAGGGAAAAGCATGTCCATGTCTTCGGCTAGGTGGGAAACGCTCATGGTTAACTTGAAAACCAGTTACAACCATAGTGCCACATGCTACCAAGTGGGTAGAAATGTAAGCTGTGTAATCATGACTCATCATGTTAGATTTTTGCACCATGTTAGCCTGTGTTAGTGTTAGCCGTCCTCATCCAGAATGTTAAATGTGTTAATCCACTATGTAACCACAGACAGCAGCTTTAACAAGGAAACAGGACAGCTGTTGTGATCAGTCTTGTATCGGACAGGGAAAACATGGAAGGAAGGAAGAGAAACATGTGGAAATACTTGTTGAGCTAAAACCAACACACAGATGTTGAGACATTTGCCGCCTCCCTGCTGGCCCTTCCTTTAACGCTAAAGCAGCTGGATATGCAGAGTACAGTTTAGGTGGGGGTTGTGTTTACAAAACTGGTTAAAAATAAAAAGGGGAGAAAGGCAAAAGGTTATAAGAGGAAGCTAGGAGGAAAAAAGAAAGGGATAAAGAGACAAAGTAAGACTGATGAGAGATGGACAGGTGGATGTGCACAACAAAGAATTTATTTAGAGTTTATGAATGTTTTATTGATCACCATGAGGAAAATTCTCTTTTCCCTCGGCCCACTACGCAGCGAGATCACACCACTGAGCAGCCTCCCTGAAGCAAGTGGGCTTTCACTGTCTTCCTAAAACATAAGCAGAAGCTTACGCTTAAGTGGAAACAATGTGTCCCATCAGGGGTCTGCACCTGAGACCTCATCTTGAAGGGCACCCTCATTACTCAATAGAGAACCTTGATGAAATGTTTATCATCAGTCTGATATATTTCTTCTGTCGTCTGCACCATTTCAGGTTTATATATCTAATTCAGTTAAATTATCAAGGCCATTTTGAGATCATAATTTAGTTTGCCCCAAAATAAGGTGTGAAAGAATTTCCTTAACCCATTTCAGTGACAAGCTGTTTTCTCTCACTGTAATTTGGAAGTAATTTGACTGCAACTACACATCACATTTACATTCCTCTGAACCAAGCTGAGTCACAACTGATGATGCTAAGTTCACCCCCATCCCAGCTACATTCAAACTCTGGATGAACCATAAAATCCTATTCCCTCTTACCCTACTCACTGGATCTCCCTCATAAACCATTTCTTTTCTGATTTCTCTGCAGAGGCCCTGGTTGCTATGGAGACCTACAAACATCACAGATTGTTGACCCCCTGATTGGCACAATTCTACTAAACCCAGCTTTTCATAACCTCTATGAAACAGCCAACCCTGACACATTTGGAGCCACTCAAACACATGCAGGCACACACACACACATGCATGCACACTCAGACTTTTCTCTAAACCCTGTATCTTGTACCTGACCTCTCACATGGCCCTCAGCAAAGTACAGTGTTTAGAGCTTCAAGCTGCTTCCTGCTACAAAGCCAGCTAATTGCTAGACTTTTTGTTGTGCATAATCTTATTTTCACCGCTGACACAGAATGTGATATGTGATGGGTGTGTGCATATGTAAATGAGGTTCTGTATCATGTTTATTTATCTGGACGAGGAGTTGAAATAAGCAACGAGACATCATTTAACAGCATGCTAAGCTAATCTCTGGTTGAGATAAATACTTCATTTCTCTCCTCTCCCCGTGACGCTCCCTTGCTGGCGACTGCTCCACTGATGCTCCATCTAAACACCGGCAATAATAAAGACAATTATTTAGGCCTTTGATAATTATGTGTCAAAGGCAGCGAAAGCCACTAGATAATTGGGCGAAAACTGAATGGTAATCCACAATGGAGATCCCCACGGGGAGACGGGCAGACTTATCCTTGGAAAGAATGCAGAGTGAGAGAAAAGAGAGAAACAGGCAAAGACAGAAAGACGAGAGCTCTTTAAGGGGCCTTGCTCACTGTCAGATAGTCAATGTGAAAAGTCATGATTATACACAAAAAGTACAAATGCAGAGCAGCAAACAAGAGAAAGGAAAACAAGTGATGGAGAGAAAGAGAATGACAGAAAATGAGCGAGAAGGAAGAGATAACAAAATGTGTTGCTTTAGTGGGAGTGAGCAAAGACTGAGCAGAGGCCAAGGGGAAGGAGGAGAGAGAGAGAGAGGGGCACCCCAAGATGATGCCAGTCAGAGATGAGGCTTCTAATGTGGCTGCGCCATGCACTGCCAACAGCCACAGATAATCTAGGACTACCCACTGAGCACTGAAGCACTGCTTAAATATTTGATTGATTAACTGTCCTGTTGTTGCCAGAGAGTAAGAGGAGAGCATCACAGAAGCCAGGGCGAACACAGAAAAAACAAACAAACATGTATGCGGGTGCACACCGGAAGGCTGGAAAACACATGGTGCA